ATCGGATTCAGGGAATCGGGTAAATACCCGTCTTCACAAGTATTTCATGGGTCGGAATATTTTGTGAAATTATTTTATTATATTTTTTATATGAAATATTTAATTTAGTATAAATGATGAATAAAATAATTTCAATTTGTTAATATCTTAAATTAAATATGGGATAAATTATTTAAATTTTATGTGAGATTATTATTCTTATCTCACATATCAAATCATCTCTATGAATGATTATTTAGATTTTAAAATTTTAATAATCCTACTTAGGGTGTTTATGATTTGGTTTAAAATACCCTCTTATTGATGTTTTAATTTGGATTGTGATATTATCACTAATTTTACAGAGTTTTTGTTTGATATTAGTAGTAAAATTTCGGCAAACAAAGATGAGGTAAGGTATCAACGTAACTTCACTCAACATATTTCACAATTTTTATTTTTTTTAAAAAAAGACATATTTGTACCAAAAGAAGAAGTAAAAAACAAACATATTTCATTGTTTATTCGAAAATAATCTTTCTCTCTCCACGAGATAGTGATAAGTTTGTGTACACTTTACCCTCCCCAAATCCCACTTATGGATTTCAGTAGGTATGTTGTTTGTTTATTAATTACTCATGTGGAATGTTTAGGCTCCATTTGAACAAATAAGTAATTGAAGTTTGAAAAAAAAAAAACTTTTTGAAGTTAAAATTTGAGGTTCTTGGAAGATTGAAATTGAGTGTCTATGTGAGAGAGGAGGGGAGAGTATTCTGCTTGAAGCAGACAACATATATATATGCATTAAGCATATTATCAAAAAAAGAAAAAAATGCATTAAGCAAAATCATGAAATCAAAATACAAATACAACATAGCCAGTGAAATCCACGAGGGGGGTCGGATAGAATGTACGCAGACCTTACCACTACCTCGTGAACCTAGAGAGGTTGTTGCCGAAATACCCCACCATAAACACAAATAACTCTACTAAATCTGCAACAGAGCTTTATTTACAAGAACTGGCACATCAACCACCATCTAAACAATTAGTACTAACATTCATTCACGCGAAACCATCACAACTTGCTTTCCAATATTGCGACCAGAGAAGAGACCAACTAGAGCACTCGGAGCACTTTCGAGGCCTTCAGCTACATCTTCCACGTACACAACCTTACCAGCTTTGATTTGCAGAATGATCATTTCCAAATATTTAGGGTAAAGATGATAGTAATCAAAAACAAGAAATCCTTCCATGCGGATTCGTTTTGAGATGAGACAGAACAAGTTGTGCACTCCTTCAGTCTGCTCAAGGTTGTATTGTGAGATCATCCCACACACAGCAATACGACCATGGATTTTCATATTCAGAAGAACTGCATCAAGCATCTTCCCTCCAACATTCTCAAAGTAGATGTCAATTCCATCAGGGAAGTGCCTCTTCAAAGCCGCGTCCAAATCCTGCTCCTCTTTGTAGTTAAAAGCTTCATCAAAACCAAATGTGCTCTTCAACCGATCAACTTTTTCTTTACTTCCAGCACTACCAACAACATAGCAACCCAACATCTTTGCAAATTGCCCAACAAGCTGACCAACTGCTCCGGAAGCAGCTGAAACAAAGACAGTTTCTCCCTTTTTAGGAGAGCAAACCTCGTAAAAACCAGCATAAGCAGTCAGACCAGGCATACCGAGGATTCCTGTATAGTAGGAAAGAGGCACATCCTTGTCACGAATTTTAAACAGAGTCGGAGTAGCTGTTACAATACTATACTCCTCCCATCCAGTCCTTCCCAAAACTAAGTCACCTTTCTGGAAGTTCGAATCACCAGACTCCAAAACTTTAGCCACTCCATATCCCGTGATAGGAGAGCCAGGAGTGAAGGACTCAACATAGCCCCCCTCAAATTTCTTCATGCGGTTACGCATGTAAGGGTCACATGACAAGAAAAGATTCTTCAAAACCATCGCATTAGAACCTTCTGGAACATTCAATTTAATGGTGGTATTTTTTAATTCCATGTCTGATTCCTTAAGGTAACTGGTGACATAGTGTTTCAGAATGACCTGTTTGTTGCTCACTTCTTCTGCCATTTCTCGCTTCTTCCGTGTTCAATGTGAATGACGGGTTGTGGTAAAAGTGATAATTGTCCTGAGATTCAATTTTCGCTTTAAGCATGAAGTTTCAGAAAACCATCCAAATGCAGTATTCAAAATTTGTGAAGGATGTAGGACATCCTCTACACAAAAACTCGTTTTAAATTAACATAGCTAACTGCTAAGCAATAAAATCATTTTTCCCCTCCCATTTTCAATTAATTTGTATACCATCATCTAAAGAAAAAAGTGACAACAAATCGGGGTGAAGTGAGTATTCCGTTGTATGATTCTTGTACTACTCCCAAGAACGCTAGGAAATGATCAAATGAAGTGTTTTACAAATTGGGATCAAATGATCTTGTCTGTATTTACAAGTTCTATTCATATTCTAGTAGCGTGGACAGGAGCTTGAAGTCATATAATTGTGTCATTAATGGGGGTACAATTTTAAGCCTAAAAATAACATCAAAGGAAAATTTAATTCAATAGGTGCCACAAGGACATTTTTGAGCAATTTTCAATACGTTAAGGACATATTTGACCCTTTTCTGTTAAAAAAAAATAACATCAACTGCAATGCAATATTAACAAGTTTGAACTAGCCAATTTCAATAAACAATCCATCCAATGTTGAAGCTCTTAGAGGTTTTCATAAAATAGATTCTTCCTCGTTGAACTTTTCTCTAAGAGCTGCCCAACCGATCAACTATCCCCAACTGTGAATTTGTTGGATATACCATTCAGCTCTATTAAAGTGAATTTCATTCTAACATCTAAAGGTTATGACCTAATGGTCAATGAAGTGTGCTGAGAACCATGAAGTCCCAAGTTCAAACTCCAACAAAAATACTTCTTGGTGGGAGGTGACAGCTACAGGTATCCCGTGGAATTAACTGAGGTGAATTTCATTCTAGTACTAAATAATTAGTTCATTAGGGCAATTTAGGATAAATCTTCATTTTAGTTGCTCTTAGACTGACTTCAATGAAAACACACAATTTTGCATACTAGTCATATCTACAACCAAGACATTTATGCAATCTAAGTGAAAAAATCAAATCTGAGTGTTATAAAAAAGCTTCCTGGGAATAATCATCACAAAATTGAAGTGACCTAAACGTACTGCAGAAATTTTATGAGAACAAAATAGGCAAACAAAACACATTTACATAAATAAATTGAAAGAATTATCAAGTTACCCTTTGTTTGGTGAACTGCTGTACTTTCGATCTTCGAATTTTGATTTTGTATGGTCCTCTCGTGAACTCCGATCAGTTTCAGCAAAATGAAGCTTGTAATGAATGGGAATTGGGATCGGCATACATGGAGTCAGGTAAATGTTTACCCCTCTTCACAAATCACAAGTACTAGACTAAGGAGTGAGAATTTTGGATTTTTTTTAAAAAAAAATTGTGGTGGTGGTGGTGCTAGTTCTGGTGTCCAACGTCTATATTGGAGTTAAAACTAAATTTAGATGATTTGTAGTTGTAGTAATACTTTGGCTTTATTTGTTTTCATTAACAACAAGATGTCTAAATATGAATGATTAAGATATTATTTTCAGTTTTGAACATTGAATAATTGAGAGGTTTATTTTTCAACATTTGAATATGGGTAACTTGTTTATCAGTAAATGTATTCCATTCAAATAAAAAGTAATTGAATATTAAAAATATATAGATTTAATAAAATAAAATTATTACTTGATTTTTAAAAAAAATATTGACGGCAGTGTTAGTCAAATGAATATGTGGTGATTGATGATGTGTTAGTGACGTTGTTGGTTGTGATGGTGGAGATGGTTGGTAGTAGGGATCAACCACAATAGTAATAGTAATTGATAGTGGCGGTGGGGCATCAGTGATGGAGATGAAAGATGTGACAATGATTGATAGTAATGGCAACTAATAATCGTGATGATAGAATGATTAGAGTTCGGAACCTAAATGATGTGATTAAAAACCACAAATTAATATACAAAAACACACTTTTTAGTGAGTTATACGAAACTTGATTTACCGCTCTCGTTAAAATCCGTTTGATTATTTATTTATTTTGAAGGGATTACACAACGCACTATTACTCTCAACATAATTTTTAATTAAATTGAATAATTATAAATTACTTGTCAAGAACTTGATCATAAAATTAGAATTCCCTTAAGAAAGGGCACATACTCGTCTAATATGTTTATAAAATATGGTGCTTATACTAACTTGCTGAGAATTTCTAAACTCACATGAGTTTATCCCAAGTCTTTCTTTTAGTATCTTTTCCCTTCAACATTTTAGATCTAAACGTGCCTCTGAAAATCTTAATTGACCACTATCAAAAACGTAGAAAAAGTAGGATAGACAGTTGATCAAATTTAATATAAATCACACGTGAACAATAAATAAAGTCGCGTCACATGATTCCTTCATCTAAGATTTCTTGGGAAGAGGACTACTACAACTTTTTAAAGACCCATAAGGTGGGTGGCCTGCCTTGCCTTTCTACTCTTTAATTAGGTTACATTTGGTCGAGAAATCTCATTATATATGGATTTCCTTTTTGGCTGCCAACTTCAACAGTCATCATAGCAAAATATTCATTTCTCCTTTGGCCTTTTCTGCATAACTGATTAAAATACACTACATTGGCCTAGTATATTTCCCAAGCAAAATCAGCACAAGATCAACCACCATCTAATCAGAAAAGTACTATTACAAAGTATTATGGGATTCGTTTTCGTGAAGTATAATCCTATATATATATATATAAGTACTTTCATATAGATGTGTCATTTCTAGCATAATATGCTTCTCTAAAGCAAATAATATACGCGTTGATCCCTACTTAGTTGGAATCAGCTGCACTTGTTTCGTGCTATTCAGAAGTGTTCAGATGATTCGTCATAGTTAGGTGGACGATTAATTAAGCTGGAGAAGCAGGGCACATGCTGAATTACTTGAAACTTTGATTATTCAAGAATTTTGCATGTGCTCTAGCTCTCCAGCTTAATTCTCCCGCCAATTCCTTCATTCAAATCTCATGTTACGTTGAGTTCAGGTAAGTCCTCGTTAATTCAATATAGTCTTTAGCCACCATTCTCTTCATGTACATGAAATATTAGATCTACAATTACTCGTGAATAAAGTAGCTAAATCCTGAACATAAACCCAACTTGTGATATTTACAAAAATCAAGCTTTGATACGTACTATACATGTATAGTACGTATTACATTGAAGTTGAAGAATGCTCTAACTGTCAATATTACAATAACATTAAGCCAGAGGGAACTGTTCTCTCAAGGCTATAAACAATCTTATATACCGAAACAGCAAGAAATAAAGCACAAGCAAGGCCTAACGAGCCCAATGATACGTATTATATATGTACAAGAATAAAGTGTATTTAGATGATTATAGGCTGTACATAGCACACACATACCTCAAGCTCTGGCTGAAAAAAATACAATGATTTGAAAATGTGTGTCATCAAGACAATTCCATGTGTTTTACATATCGCTGGAACCTTTGTCCTTCAAGATACTTATCTTGGCTTCGAGTCCTTTCCTTTGCTTCTGAATGACGATAAAGAAAAGAATGATCTTGGAGCTGTGAAATGGTAAATAAATTAAAGTTAACATGTAAATACTTGAATTACTGAAGCACAAAAACTTGTACAAGCTTCAAACTGATTTGTGCAATACAAAATATTGAAAAGTTCAAGATTTGTTAAATATCTGATGATATACTGTTTCATTGTTGATCAATGTAATACATCTTTAAGGCATTGGCTAATAAGAAAGACATATAAGATGATGATGAAACAACTGTACTTCTTATGCTTCTCCCTTCGTTTCAATTTGTTTGTTTGGTTTTGTCTTAACATGGAGCTTAAGAAAGTAAAGAAACTTCTAAATTTTGGTGGTCTTAAACTAAAGATAAATATACCAAATGTCCTTTAATCTTGTGGTCTTAAACATGCTATGTGGAAAGTTGAAATTAAAGAGTTGTCAAAAAAGGAAAGATGCTTCCTTTTTGAATCGGACTAAAAAGAAAGTAAGTCAAACAAATTGAAACGGAAGAAGTAATAGATAGGAGAGTACACTTTGACTCAGGAAGTATATAGATAGTTGCATAAAAAAATGAGAGCTGCTGTGCACAATTGTTTTTTTTAAGGTATGAAGAGTGTCAACTACGCCGATGGAGGGAGGCTCTTACTCTTTCGTTTCTTCTAATGGTGGAATTTATAGGATTAAACAGAAAACACAGAGGAATAAGTTGAAAAACACCAATTATATTCTATATGTTCACCCTTTATTGAGCTTCCTGATAAATGATTCTCCCTCGGTTTGAAGTTAGCTGGAGGTGCCGGAATAGACCTGTGCAAGGATTGAACTGCCAGAAATAAAGTACATTGAGTCAGTTAATTAAAATCAATGAGCTTCTGACCAAAAGTTGTTAAGGATTACTGAATAATAAGATCACATGAAAAGGTGTACTCATAAGCAAAATAAAATAGAAAAAAAACATTAGCTTAACCTTCCCAAAGATGCTCATTTACATTTACATGGCTTCAAGTATACCAACAAACAATTGCAACAGTTGTTTGTTATTATTCAGATAAGTCCGATTTGAAACAATTAACAACTAAAGAAGTTTTATCAATTTTCGGGAAGCCATTGAATATTAATCAAAAGGAAACATCATATCTTACCTCGTTCGTTTAAAAGCACATCCTCATATAAGCTATCATTAGAGCAATGGCGACTATCATGTCCATTTCTTGTGCAATCATCTCCTTTAGAGGTAGTTGCAGCAATCCAGTCTTTAACCAGACTATCTGCGTCAGGGTTTTTCCTCCCAAACTTTAGTAATCGCTTAAATCCTCTGGCCTTATCCTTCCGTGAAAGACTTTGAGAAGATTTTATGATATTGATTGGATTCTGAGCTGTCGTTCCCCATTTCTTCCTCGTTCTAGTAGCACCATTCGCCTGTGTTGAACTCAGAAAATGTGAATCCCAGGATGTAGGACTTCCCACAGGAGAGTCTAAAGCATCAACATCAGATATCTCATGAGTCTGTGAGACAGGACTATTTAGGAAGTTGGAAGGCACAGAAGAAGGTGAATATCCGGCTTCCGAAGCATAGCAAACTTGAGAAAGTGATCTCAGTAAACGTCTATTTTCTGGTCCAGGACTTTTCTTCTCCATCTCATGACTCGGTCTTGGTGCCCCAATATCAAAATTTTCCTCAACTGCAGATATCATGTTCTCAAATTCATCCACATCTCTACCCATTGAGTCCTCAGAATCCAATTCCATGTCATCAACATCCTCACCATCGTTGTGCGTAAACGTAGATGCAATGTTAGAACCCCTTGTTGTCTCAGTCAAACCACCTCTTGAACTGAAATCAGCATCTTTTCCCTTCTTTAGTGAGGTCTTTGTATCCGAAATGTTGGAAAATTTATCACTGAGACTCTGTCCCATCTTGTCCTTCACAGATTTAGGAGGTGCTGACATTACACACTTAGGACTTTGTTCCATTTTGTCTTTGTCAAATTTGAGAGGTGCCAACATAACACCCTCAGAATTCATAGCAGAGCTTTTTCTTAAGGACTGTGAGTGCAGTAATTTGCTACGCGAATAAGGTGCACGAGGAGTTGTTTTACCAGCTGGAGAATAAGGCTCAGCATTTTCCTTTCTCATGTAAGACAAGTTTGGAACGGATCGTGCAAGTGGACTTTCAGCTTGAGATTTTCGCTGACTGGAAGGACTACTAGAAACCTTCATAGGAGACCTCGGAACAGATGCTACTACTATGTTCCGAGGTTTGGATGAAGGTTTGATAGGTAAATTTTGTTTCTTCCTCGGAGCAGTAGTATGCTTAGAAACTTCTTCCAAAGATGTTTCACTAGAAGACCTGAGTACATCATTCCTTTTCTGATTCATGAATTCAGACATATCTTCTCTATCATCACATTGCTGAAAGAGTACTGATTGTTGCTGTCAAATGGAATTAACTTTATTCAATATTCGTGACAAGATTAAAGGGAAAAATATCCAAATCAACTCTAGGATTTAACAAGAAACAGAAATGCCTACATACTGTGAGTGAAAATTGTTGAATCTATGCAACAAAAACAACAACAACAACAATAATATACCCAGTGTAATCCAACAAATGGGGTCTGGGAAGGGTAAAGTGTATGTAGACCTTGGTACAGAGGTTACTTTCAATAAACCCTCAGTAAATTACTACATCTATACAACAACAACGCAAATCAAGTGTAATCCCACAAATAGGGTCTGAAAAGGGTAGAGTGTACGCAGACGATACTCCTACTTTTGAGAGGTAAAGAGGTTGTTTGCTCAGCTAATTGCAGCATGTATACAATAACGGAAAAAAACAACATAACCAGTGTATCCCACAAATATGGTCTGGAGAGGATAGAGCGTACGCATACCTTATCTCCTTCCTTGACAAGTAGAAAGCCTAACTATTTCCGATAGACCCCCAACTGATTATTACATCAATTAGTAAGTAAACTAAAGGAACTAGAATTATACCTGGTCTCTGCTAAAGATTGAGCTGGAGCTAAACGATCTGCGTCTCTCAATACTCTTCATTTGAGCTGTACTCCTCTCAAGACAATCCTCCATAGCCCTCAGCTTCGCTTCCTTCTCCGCTCCTTTAGTATTCCATTCATCCCTAAGTTTCGCATCCCTTTTCTGCATATACATATCATAGAATTTCCCCGGAGAACCCGCAAAACCAATTAACTCATGATCAGAAGAGTTTTTATCTATATTAATACTATCATTATCAAATACTTGATCCTCCAGAAAGGCGCCGCCGGCATTGTCAATAGCTGATGGCCAGCTTTGCATGTGACCATGCCTACTAGTTTTGCTTCTGGTAAAATAATTAGATTGATAATTTCCAGCTGACGTAGGAGTGCGCAATTGATGCTCTGCGAAAAGCTTTTCGAGTTCATTTGCTTTTATTTTCAACTCATCATTCAGCTCCTGGTTTCCTTTTGATTGCCGCACCCTTCGAAATTGCTCCACAGACGGTATGATTAATGAATTGATTCTTTCATTTGCCATATGAGACGATGGGTACGACATTATCCTTCCCTTTTATAATACGAATATGGGTGTTGTGACGATGGTTGATGGATGAGGAGGAGTGTTAAATCTCCTCCTCGTTCACCTCGTGATTATCAACAATGGTGACCTTTGTATTGCTTTTGTGGTGATCAAGTTAAATGTTCAATTCTCAGGTACGTAGCAATGGGGAAGGGAGGGAGGAGAGGATATTGGGATGATGACACGTGGAGGGTTGGGATTAGTCTACGTAAGAGGGGGTGTTGCTGTTGTTGTGTTGGGAGGGATTCTCGGCAAGGTAGAATGGGGCCGGGTTGATCCAGTTGGTTCGTTGATCTAGATAAATGGGCCTGGACCTCTTTGATGTACATGTCCCATCCATATATAACAAGGGGATTTTTCACAAATTCCACGGCGTTAAAAAGAGCAAATTACATTTATCCCTATTCTTTTTCTAATTACAAAAATCTCTTTAATTTGGTAGAATTCGTATACATCCCAAAATGTCCCGATTTTAAATACATCGCTCAACGTTCTAATACATCGCGTCTCGATTTCGGATACATCACTTAACTTCGCGGTACATCGTGTGTGTCCTGATACACAGCGTAAAGTGATGTATCCAACTGATATTGCGTAAAGTGACGTATACGATTGATACATTGCGTAAAGTGATGAACCCAAGAATAGGAGAGACTTGAGATTTTTGTAATTTTTTCAAATGGTAGAGAATTTTAAAGAATATGGTAAAATAAGTTGTGTAGTTAGATAATTTTTCAATATGAAAAGACTTCTAATGTTTATTAATCCCACCACGTTACTCTTATTTCATGGTGATCTTTAATTTTTGTTTGTGATCTTTTATTTTTACTTTTATTGCACATTTAATGAATGTTTG